GCCTCAGTGCTCTAGCTGGTGGGAAAAGCCTGGTGCCGGGAGGACCCAGCCGCCAGTCCCAGGCGACCCCCCTGCTCCTTGTCCACCACCCGCTGGAGCTCAGTCCAACAGACCCAGGTGATCCTCCCTCTCCTGCTTGCCAGTGTAGACCCCCAGCGGTTGAAGGGACTGCTGTTTCTCCTGTGTGAGTGAAGAGGTCACGGAACCCCTCCGACGCTGGATGAGATAGAATCAGATGGCCTGGCCCATGCCGCAGGTGAGCACACGGCGGGCTCTGGCCCAGATCCCAGCCTTGCTGTTCCCCGGCCTCTCTGCGCTCAGGGCCTTCCTCTGACCCAAGGCCTGCGCGCCTCTGGGGTTCATAGACCAGGCTTCCTGGCATCCTGCCCCACAGCCGCACCTGGATGAGTGCAGGCTCTTCCCACCTCAAGAGGGGAGCCCTCCCCACAGTTGGTGCCACTGTCTCAGCGCTGGAGCCTGGGGCGAGGCAGGGCCTTGTGTCACCACTGTGCAGGGACCGACAAGAACCAACTGCCAGCCCCCTCCCTCTGTGGCTGGCTGGGGTCCCAGCTTCTCCCTACCATCACTCCAGCATAGTTCCTAGGAAGGCAGGACCCAAATGGGAGCAAGGTTAGAAAGAAAGCTGGGAAGGCGGCCACCTGGCCCACCCACCAACAGCGGAGAGGCCCTTCCGAAGTGCTTCCAACACCCATCGCCGGCTGGCATTCCCTCTCACTCCCACCCGCAGGGTCTGCGGGTAAGCGCCAGTGTTTCCACCAGGAGGGCCTGGGGCTGGCTGTGAAGGCACCGCTGGGCGTTGGGGGTGTTGAGCCTGCGTGTGGGCCTCCTTCCACCCACACCCTTCATTCTCTGGTGGGCTGGTGATGAGGGGAGGGGTGAGGGAGGGATGCTCAGACCAGCTGCCCCAGAAAGCATGAGCTGCGCCCGCTGCTGCAGGACTTGTTAGCGTCCATCCTCAGTGTCACGTGTCCCGCCCTCCAGGGGTCAGGATCGCGAGAAGAAAGAAAACCTGGGAAACAAACAGTTAGAGCACAAAGAATTGGGACTTATGACATCCCAACTGGGGGCTGGAGGAGTTTGGGGAAACTTCCCTGCAAGGGGGTGCTCTCGAGATGGGGCTCAAAGGATGGGGGTTCTTTTCATCTCAAATAGAAAAACTCAACTCAAATCTATTTGAAAACAGAAAAAGGCGGTGGCTGGTTCTCCTAGGTGCTCATGTGAGGGTGTCAGGAGTGTCTCCAAGATACTCACTCTGCAGGGGGCCTCAAGCCTCAGAAGCCCAGGGTATGACTGAGGTTGGGTTACCCCAATAGGTTGGAGAAAAGTCCAGGACAGTCACAGTGAGTCAAGGGGTGTGGTCGCCAGATCAAGGTCTGGACACGGCAGGATGCACCCCCCAGACAGGCGGGGTCTGGATGAGGGGAGAATATAAGGGGGTCATCGCATGGAGTGGGAGTGAGCTAGAAGAGGAGCCTGGGCGAAGGCAGGGGCTGACTGGATGCAGTGACCCTGCTGGGGACGTGGCCCTGAGGGGACGGATGGTAACAAGGTCCTGTCGTGCTGGGGTGAGGAGGAAATGCCAGATTTGAGGGTTTTTTTTTTTTTTAAGATTTATTTATTCACACATACAAGAGCTAGGGTGTAGGCCAGAAGTGGAGTGGGGGGATTCACCAGAGACAGAGCGGAGAGCAGAACAGCCAGACTGACTGAAATGCACTGCTGAGGGGAGCAGCAGGCGGGTCAGGAGAGATCTGCCACGCCATGTGGATCTCCTCCGGGGCAGATGGGAATCGAACTCATGTGGAAGTGGCTTTAGCTTAGTGCTGTGCTTTAACCCGCTGCACCACCAGGGAGGGCCCATTGTTAATTTTTTTTTTAAAGATTTATTTATGTATGCATACAGACCTGGGGTACAGGCCAGAGGTGCAGGAGTGGTGAGAGGATTCATCAGGGACAGAGTGGGGAGCAGAACAGGCAGATCGTTGAAATACACTGTTGAGGGGAGCAGTGGGCAGGTCAGGAGCGGTCAGCTGCGTGCGTGGGTCACTCCCTGGCCGGGGACGGAGCTCATGCTGCAGTGGCTGTGACAGCTGGACAGTGCTGTCTTTAACCCCTGCGCCACCAGGCAGCCCCCCAGGTTTGAATTTGAATATTCTTCCCAAGGCATTTCAAACAGTGAGGCCTTAGTGTCTCCTGCTGGGCACTGCCATGCCCTCCTGGAAGCACTGCCACAGAGACGAGGGCGGCACATGCCACCCTGGGGCGTGCGGGTGGCGTCAGTGTGGCCTCGGGACGGGACTTTTGGGCTCACAGAGCACTTTCGCAGGACCTCTGTCCCCACAACAAAGTTGAGAGTTCTCTGGGTCCGGGGAGACGGATGTTGGTGACTGTGATACCGGCCCAAAGTCACGAAGCTGAAAGCTAACGGGACCAGGACGTGCACTTGCGTCTAGTCCTGAGCAGGTGCCATGGCACTGTCCTGGCTGGCTCCTTAGCCTAGGGTCCCCTGGTGGGCCCACTGGGCCCTCCTTCCCTGGAGCTCACCAGAGTTGCCTGGGGTGTGCCCCGAACTTGCCTTGAACCCCGCCATTGATGTCCACCCTCCATGGCCTCTTAGCATCTTAGCCCATGTGAACCCCAGATGAGCAGATGGGGGGAGCCCTCTCCGGCTGCTGGGTCCCTCCCAGGTTCAGAGGTCCCCTTCATTTCCCTACTCCACGCTTGAGCACATGTGGAATCACTGCTCACACTTAGCTGAGTGTGCGATCATTTGAGCCACCCACCCCCAGCGACACCCTGGTTCCCTGGGCCAGAATAAGGCTGTACCCAGCCTTCAAGGGTCAGACTTCCCAAAGTCAAGGTCTTCCATCATATGAACAGGCCTCTTCCCAATGCCACATAGCAGTGGGATGCCTCTGTGGATACCCTCCCTGTCTGTCTTCATCTGTCTGTCCATCTTCTGGTCTCAGGTACAGTCAGGCTTGGTCTTGAATCATAAAAACCCCACTTAACAAAAGCTAAAGTGCTTATTTTTCTCACAAAATTTCTGAGTTAGGCAGTCCAAAGCCAGTATGAAGGGTTTACGCTGTCCTCAGAGACCTAAGCTAGCCATCTTACCCTGTGAGCCAAAAGGGCAGCTAGCATTCCGGCTATCACAACTGCATTCCACATCACTACTAGGGGGGAGAGAGAAAGAAAAAGCGAGCAAATAGCACATGTCCACTTTACAATTTTATTAAGATTTATTTTATCTATACAAGAACTGGAGTACAGGCTAGAAGTGCAGGGGTGAGAGGATTCACCAGACAGAGTGGGGAGCAAAACAGACAGGCTGACTGAAACACACGGCTGAGGGGAGTAGGTCTGCCGTGCCTTGTGGGTCAGCTCCCTGGTTGGGGATTGAGCTCATGCTGCAGTGGCTGTGATAGCTTATAGTGCTGAGACTTTAACCCCTGCACCACCACGGAGGCACCATGCTCAGTTTATTTTTTAAGAAAGTTTCCTAGAAACTGACATGTGACTCAGTCACATAGTCACATCTAGCTCTAAGAGAGTCTGGGATAATTCTAGTTCCAGCTAAAACTCCCGCTTAGAGGCTTCTTTACTGAGGAAAAGGGGGAAATGGACATTGGGCCAACTATCTCTGACACCCCATCCTTTCAATAAGCACTTTTTGGGTTTACTTGTACTTACTCTCGTGAAAGCACTGCTGATGAATACCTTAGCATCTCAGGAGTGCTAAGCAGTGCCTGGCGAAGCTAAGCAGGCACCGTCACTGTGATTGTGTCAGAGTGCGATTACAGGCTTCAGTGAGGGTGGAGAAAGGGCGACCTGCCTGGCAGGGGATGTGGACACGGAAAGGCCTGCATGTGTCTGACAGCTGGAACTGTTGACTACAGCCATTTCGGGACCTCACCTCCTTTGATCTCCAAACCATCCCACCTCAACCTTCTCTGGGGAATGACCTGAAAATTCACCCCCACCAAGGCGTGGGTGCCAGTGACAACCGTGACTGGGACTGTCCGGTCACTTCAGCCGTGTGACAGAGAACTTGGGCATCGGCTAAGGTGAGGGCGCTAGTGAGGAAGGCGTTGGGAAACCTTCCGAAGGCCTAGAATGCTCGCTGTGGACAGTTCGATGATTCTTTCTGAATTGAGAAAATAACAGAATGTTGCCTACAGCACTCAACTGACAGAGGGGGTAGCAGGTACGGCACCCTTTCGAGGTAATGGAAAGAGGAGCCCCACCCTTGCCTTGGGGGGACATCCCTCCATCCAGCAGGCAAGGAGGAAATGGAGCCTGAGAAGCCTGGATGGTGGATGCAAGGTGCTTCCCTCGCTCTGCACAGGCCCCTTGTCTTTACCTGTCACTGGCTCTGGAAGGTGAATTGCTACTGACCCCCCCTGGGTAGGGGAGGCCAGCTGCAGATCCTTCCTGGGCACTGAAGTATAATGGCCCTGTGGGGCACAGAGTGCAGCTCCCACATGGCTAGGGTGGCCTCTGTTCCCTTTGCCCAGACTTCTCTGAAGCTCCCTCCATCTCTGGTCTGGAGACCCAGAACGCCCAAGAACCGCCTCCCCCAGGCAGCTCCCACTGACTTCCCTCACTGGGTGCCCACCCTAATTGTTGCCTTAGTTTTTGATTGTGGCATGAGTGGCTCAGAGTTTCCACTGCTGCTTGCTTATCTGTCTCTGTCCCTCTTAGCAGCCTGGGCCCAATCCCTCTTGATATAACTCCTGCACCCTACACACACTAGTGGCCCAGTAACGATGCATCAGTGGGGAATGCGTGAGTGAATAAATGAGTGAGGTGTGGGTGAGTGAGTGAGTTCCCTGGCTGCCAGGGGTAACTCCCCCAGGGACGAGGGGGAGGCCTGCAAGGGTTAACTGGGAGCCAGCCTGTGGTCTGAGGTAAGCAGGGAGCGTATTTGTTCAGGTAAATAAGGAAGGATTACTTATAATGGGAAATCAGGCCGGGCCAACTCTTCATCTCACGGCTGCCTGACTTCCTCCCAGCACATTCCTGCACTCACCTGCGTCCACATTGCACCTCAGACCTGGTCCCCTGAGCCTTGCGAGGCCCCCCTGTAAGCCCCTCAGCCTGGTTCTTGCCACAGGGCCAGCAAGTGGCCCTGGGCCAGGGGTCAGCGACTCCCTGCAGAGCACACAGCCCTGAGGCCACAGAGGGCCACCCCTTGAGAACGGTCAGGCCCCCTGGTGACTACGTGAGTGTTACCTTCCCCCCAGCACTGCTGGCCCCTGGTGCCACTGGCCTCCCGGATGCCTGACTGAGACCCAGCAGTGACCCAAGCTGCCCACGCCTCCCCCGGCCCCCAAAGTTGGCACTGCAGCACGAGTCCTTGGGAGCCAGCAGCTAACGGGTGAGTCTGGTGGGAGACAGGTGGCCTACCTCGCCGCCGAGGGGCTTTCCTTGCCGACTGTGAGCTGGGTGGTAGAGGGCAGGACTGCAGGTGTGCTTTGCAAGGTTAGAGCTGGCCTTGACCGAGCCCTGCGCCCTTCGCCCTCAGAACCCCTAACTCCTCTGCATGCTGCCTGGGCTGAGCCCCAAGGGCCTGGGGAGGCTCGGAGAGCCCCAGGTCTCTGACGGCCCCCATCTGGGCTCTATATTGAGCACTGTCTGTCCTGCCTGAGGGGAGGCAGCTCTGGTGCAGAGCTCAGCCCCTGAGACTTGGCCAGTTCTGCTTGGCTAGCAAAACACAAACAGCCTTTCTGCCGCTGCCAGCCACAGCGACTCTGCCAAGGGAAGGGTCTCCCCGGGTCCAGACCACAGTGGGCAGGGCTGGCTGGGCACTGGCGTGCTGTGCCTGGATTCAGATTGGAGCAGGGGCCACAGGTCCAGACCCGGGCAGGGCCCCGGTGGGCACAGGAAACAGGGGTCTGGAGAGCTGTGGAGCAAGCCGCCTGGGCACTTGGGTACCCACAAAGAGGAGGGTGTGTGGGTGCTGGCCGGGGTATGCGAGGAAAACCACAGCGGGAGCCCCAGGAAGGCACTCACTTCTGTCAGGCACTCCTGCTGTCGGGAGAGAGGGAAGAAGGTCCTGCCGGTGACAGAGTGGAAGCCAGGGTATGGATGAGCAGGGGTCCCCTGAGGCTGGAAACAGGGTGCGTGTGTGCGTGTGTGTGCACGCGTGTGTGTACCCACATGCACACAGTGGGCATGACCCAGTCCCCCCACCTCACCCTAACAGCTGGCTCACCCAGCAGCCCGCACCAGACCGCAGCCCTGAGTGCCCTGACCCCTTTAAACGGTCATGACCTTTTCCCGCCTTGGTCAGGGCTGGGACTTGGTCTCATTTCCTGCCCCCACCTCCCCAATAAACAATATCATAGCAACCCCCAATTAAAGTCCGTCTCCCCAGTACCAGCTGCTGGGCTGAGTAACAAAGCAAACAGGCACCGGGCTGCCTCGAGCCCGCGGAGGCTGGCAGGATGGGCAGCAGGCTCCCTACCTGACAGATAGGCCCAGGCATGGCCCAAGCCAGCTGGGCCGGTCCGGTTGCCCTGCCCACCCAGGCAGGAGCCAGAGCACGCGCAACCTGGAGTCTCATCACGCCAGACTTACAGAGATTTAGAAAGAGGGCACATCCCCAGAACTCCCAAGAGGTTGGGGTGTGGAGGAGATAGTTTCTCAAGGGGTAGGAGACCATCCTCCCCTTTGAGAACACCACAGTGAATGGACAAGCATGTCCCCTGACTGTGTGGGCCAACAGCTGGAAACAGTCCCCACAGGACCAGCTGACCTTTCCTCGCCAGCGGCTGGGCGTGCGACAGAGGCAGTGCCACGTGACAGAGGCAGTGTCACAAGGTCCCTCTCAGGGAGAGTGTCAGCTGAGCCTGAAGGAGCAGGGCATTCTGTGGGTGCTCAATGGATGCTCACTGAGGAAGCATCACTGATGCTGAAAATAAGTAGAAGGCTCTGGAAAGTCGACTTTTTACAACTCAAGTTGTAAAAGCTATAAAGCTATAAAGTCGATAGCCCTGGAACCATTAGAACACAATCATGTGCTAAATGTGTTGGTGCAGGTTGAACATAGCCAGGGGGTCAGTCAGGATGACTTGGAGACAAGACTCTGGGTGCAAGGCCAGAAGGACGGGTTAGGACTCACAGTGCGTGACCCTGGACAAGTGACTCACCCTACATGGGAGGCTCCTTGTCTGTGAAATGAGATGCTTTGACAGGTGGTCTCTGTTAAAGAAAGTTTCATGGAAGTCACAACCCGGATCAGGGTTTTGAAGCACGCTTAGGAGTTGGTGGGAGCAGGGTGGTCAGCTCGATTCGCCAGGTCTGTAGACATGTGTGCTCTCCCAGCCTGGTCTTCTGGCCTGAGGTCAGGAAGGTGGGTGACTCTGCTCCTCCTAGAGGCTAGGGATGGGTGGCTGAGGCCAGCAGCTGCCTGCACTGGGCTGGAGAGCAGAATGGCCTCAGGGAAAGACCTGGGCTCTTCACCACCATCCTGAATTCTCCCCAGGTCCCACTCAACCTGCTTCTTCCGGTGTTCCTCTCACCCCACGGCCCCCTCCGCCTTCTTCGCCAGCCCTATCCCCTCACCTACTCTCAGCACTGTTCATACGCGGCCCATCATCACTCATGGGGAATTTCACCTTCCTCCTTCAGCCCATTTAGCAGAGGGGACAACCAAGTCTTAGAGGAGGTGAGTCACTTGCCCCAGTCCCAGAGCTAGAGAGCAAGGAGTCAGAGCTCTCTCCTACCTGGGCCACCACCCCACTCCCACCCCCAGCCTGTTCTGGGCCCCACCCGGCACCCCCAGCCAAGCAAGCAGCCTGTCAGGTGGAACAACTCTTCCCAAAGCAAACTTTGCTCAAGCCGAGTTGCCCTGGGCCCTTCCTGACATTTAATGCCAGCTCCTTCTCTGACCTCTTTTGCATGTTCCCAGCCCAGTCGGTGCCCCCTGCCAGGTTCTCCTCTCCTACTTCTGGGCTGCTGGGTGGGGCCTCCAGATGAGGGGAGAGCGAGCCCCCCAACCCCACCTGGGACCACTCCTCCCTGGCCAAGGCCCTGAGTGTGACTGTGGTAGGTAGGGACAGATGGACCAGAGCCCACCCAGAACCCTAGAAAGGGGCCATGAGGTCTCTCTGGGCACCACCAGAATCAAGGTGCCCCTTCCTGCTCCCTCCAACTTTGAGACTGAGAGGAGGGATCTGAGGGTGACTACCCAGACTGGAGTTCCAGACCTGGGCCTGGTGACAAGGGTGGGGCCTAGGTCACTGTCTTGGGCAGCCAAAAAAATTGCCCTGAGGGCTGCTGGGATCTAGTCCTTGCCTCTGACTGAAACATCTGACCCGCGCCCAGGGATCCAGAAAAGGGGGGCTTGGGGTGGGGGTGGTTAATGTGTCTCTGGTGACAGCTGGGGATGTGTCTTAATAAACCTCTAATAACCCATCTGCACTCATTTAAGCTGTTTTTGAATCAGGCAATTTCTCTTGGCCTCTGAGGACAGTTCATTCTGGACTTCTAGCATTTCTAGAATGTTGGAGGGTCTTCATCTTGCCCCCCACCCCCACCCCCTTTCCAAGCCCTGAGGTATGCTCCCTGGCTCTTATGCAGCCAATATGCACATTCACCTCTTAGGGGATGTTAAGTCTTCTCACATCATTGTCTTTCCTGGTCATTCCAAACCCTCCAGGCACAATTGTCTTGAGTTCCCATTTCACCAGTGAGGAGACAAGGCCGAGATGACCACCAAGGAGCTGCAGGCAGAGGGGTGTGAAACTCCGTGTCCTCCCAGCTTCAAGGCAGGGGCAGCAGGAAGGGGCCAGGCAGGATCCCACACGGCCCCCCACCCCACGTCTCCCCCACGTCCCCTCCCCCCACCTCCCCACCCCCACCCATGAAGCCAGCGTGAGCAGGAGGAGGGCAGGGAAGAGAGGTGCCTGTGGGGCTCTGAGGAGACTGTGAGGGCCGCAGGGACGGTCGCCCTCAGCGACCCTCTGGCGGTCAAGGTGAAAACTGCAGTAGGCGGAGGCCGGCCGCGCGGAGTGGAGAGGCTGACGGGAGGGCGGGAGGGCGGATGGAGGCGAACCTCGCTTGTGCACAGCATGTTCTCAGCAGGATCTGAATGGAAACGCGATTTTCGGCTTATGGGAAACCCTGGCCATCAGGCTCGATGGGGTGGGAGATTGGGACTTTAGCCCCTCCCCCTCAGCAGCACCGACTCAACCAAGCCCCAACCAAGGTCCTCAGGGCTGGGATACTGGCTGACGGGAGGAATCAGGTCTGTGGGAGTGTGTGGGGAGCGCTGCTTGGTCAGAAGGGCGGGCCACGTCTTCCAGAAGCCTGGACCCTGACTCTGGAGGGGTCTCTCTAGTCAGAGGGGAGACACAGCCACACCCTTCACCCTGCCGCCTGAATGTATGCCTCCAGAAGAACGGGGAGCCCTGAGTGTCCACCTGTTTCTCCACCATCTGCCTTCCAAGTCCGGCTGAGGGGCAAGGTGGGGAGCATAGAATGCAGTGTCAGGGTTAGAAGAGTCCTGGGAGATGGCCCTCCCTCTCTTGGAGAATAGAGGGGACTGGGCCCCCGGCGGCGGGGCGGCCCGGCCCAGAGCCTCATAGGGCAGGACATGAATCCACCCCTCAGATCCTGAGACCCAGAGTTCTTTTCAGATTATATCCCTGTTTTGGGGTACTGGCTGACTGGAAGAAATGGGGTGGGAGGAGATGCTGGCAGTTCCTGTTTTGGAGCAAACTCAAGACATGGGGTAAGCTTGGGGCCAAGGTAGGTACCTGCCTCTCCCTCCAGGCTCCTGAGCCACGAAGAGGCCACCAACGTGACCTCTGTGGGCCTGGCATTTTCAGGGGCTGGGCCAGCAAGTGGCCTGAATAGAGATGAAAGGGGTGACCTTAGAGGCCTGAGGGTGTCTGGCCATCAGCACCCTCTAAGAGGGGTGGAGGTCAGCCTTGGCTGCCATCCCTGCTCAGTCACCGCGGATGTGCGTCCCATAGCAGCCACACCCCACACCTGGCATGTCCCAGGGGACAGCTGGAGGGCCAAGGAAGCAGGGAAGCAAGTCGGTGAGGGTATGTGTGCCGATGCCAGTGTTACGTGCAACAGGGAACAAATGGGAAATGTAGCTGGCACCAGTGCACCTGTCCGCCCGTGGGAACTATGGGAAAAGACCAGAGCAGATTTCCCTGATTCTGCCTTTGATCTTCTCATTTCTGCCCTCCTGCTACCTGGCAGCTTCCCCTTATCCCCAACTTTCCCCAACACCGGAGCCCACAGGTTGGCCCCCCAAGTTGGACTTATCAGAAAGCAAAACTCCTGTGAAAGTTCAGTTAATGGCCTGGACAGCTCAGGGGCCTGAGGAGGTGAGGGAAAGTCAGGGGACTAGAAGAAACC